CCAATCTATTATTATTATATCTCAGTTTTAAGGAGAGATTATCAGAGTTGCTGTTGCCTTCCCATTGGCTCAAAGCAGGGTGGCTATTCTCCTCCGGCATCAACAAGCACGTTCACTCAGAGAACTGCTGCTCGCTGGATATTTACCCTTTTTTGGACGACTCTCTGCAAATTGTAGAGAAGCTTGTGCAGGAAAATTCCAGCAGTCTCTGAAATACTCCGATCATAAACAAAAGAGAAGTGGACCGAGAGCAGAACCCTGTGGAACACCGTTTTTAATGTCTCGAAAGTTTGATTTTTAAATATTAACAAAACCGAAACTTCGAAGGATTTCATGTCAGTTTAGAAAGCTTTTACATGCAGGTAATTCTGTATTTTACATGTATGGACCCCTAATTTCATGTTGGATGAGAAAATAATTTCTCATGAAATCCTCAATGGATTCGTTTTCTCTCGACATTCCCGGTCTTCCGTACGTGAGCCCGTTTTGCTGGTCCTCATTGCTGGATTCGGACCACAGGCTTGACACAGGTGCAGCCCACCGAGATGAGGCGGGACTCCAGGCGGTAGTGGTCTTATTTCTGATTGCAGTAGGTAACAGTGTAATGCTGTGATCCACATAACAGCCGCCTGAATAAGAGAGACAAGCTTAAAGGAACTTTTGGGGGGTTCTGATAGCATAGAGTTAGCGATGAGTGGGTCCCTGTTATAGCAGTCCATCTAATAGCTACTATTGAGTCTTTACCTTGCCTTGAGGCGACTGCTATTGTGATTTGATGCTATGAAAATAAAATTGAATAGAAATTGAATAGTTGTTGGATCTCTGAAGAACGCCAGAACAACTTTCAGACAGGTTTCTCATTGTGATTGCCAGAGCTGCCGTTTTTGACCAACCACAGTGAGACTGTGACATTTCATCCGCCGGGTCACCGATCACTCGTTCAGCGTTTGATTTGGGTTCTGTTTGAGTCACGTGCTAAAAAGCAACGATGTAACCGTTCAAAAAAAGCCTTGTCAGTTATTTTGGCATGAAAGCTTTTCAATGTTTCCAGACTGTTCTCAACACTGAACGAGTGTTTGGACAGTAACCAAAGTCAAAGCCTACCCTTAGATTCACATGTAACAGGTTACCTGGAGGATGTGAAGAGGAGAGAGCAAAACTGACAAAATAATTGCAATTTGCAGATATAAAGCAGTTTTACTGGATCAAAAGGTTCTAGACAGGGGTCTCGACCTCCAGGCCTCGAGGTCCGGTGTCCTGCAGGTTTTAGATCTCACCCCTGAATCAATGATTAGTTCATTACCAG